ACGACGAAGGAATAAATTAGGCCTAAATTACTACCACTTTTAAGAATTCACAAAAAAATAGTTTTATCAACAGCTGATCCTTAGAGTTCCTTGGACTTGGAGTGGACTTGACCTGGTCTCCATCGGCACTCCCGTTTTGCTACCACTATAAGCTCTACAAAAGTAACCATTTAAACAAGGTGAAAAATGTAAGGGGAGATAGAACTAGATATAAATACAAGTCGTAGTTACGACTAGACCTAGGTACAATAAAAATAGAGAACGAGTCGATTTAAAGAGTCGTTCTCAGAGCTTAGTCAGCCTCCGTTTGCCTCCCCCTCGGCTCAAAACCCGATTTGTCCCCAAGTTTCCGTGTCCCTAAGTTTCCTCGTCCCCATCTTTCCGGACACCGCCAAATTGCCCCCCCCCCCCATACTCAGGTTGGGTAGCAGGAAAATATTTCAATTCTGGCAGAGAGGCTGCAATTTTAGGTGGTTATAGTATACAAGTTTCTGAACCTAAAACCGCCCAGACCCCAATTTTTAAGGACCTCGGTCGTCCGTAATGACGTCATCAAAATGGCGGCCGTAAGAGGATGCTGGGTCCCCATGAATTGGCTATAATGACCGAATGTCTGAACCGATTTTCATGAAATTTGGCACACAAGTGCTTGAATACATTATCTCGGCCTGGGTTGAAAATGGTCAAGTTTCATCAAATCATTTCAAAATGGCGGCTGTTCAAAACTAAAAAAATATGAGGAAAATAATTGTGAATTGTTTTATACAGGTGAGTTTTAAATGAGTTCCCCCCTACTTTTTTATACATTTCTTAAGATATCAACTTTAAACCATGTCAGATCATTCTAGTGTAGCAAGTACTTCATTTTGACTGGGTTTAAATTTTTGGCCGCCATCTTGGATCCGCCATTTTGGATAAAAAGTTATTTTTTCAAATGTAAAGGTAGGGTTGTGAACCACCGTTTCAAACAAGACTTTTACGCTTAATACGATGATGCAATCCGTTTAAAAAAATGTTGATCCATTCTAAAGTTATGAGAACTTTTTATAACTTTATTTTTAGTCCATTATAACATTGTGCATTTACAAACTAAGGCCATAATCTCAAAATAGTGCTAGATAAAGATAAGTGGACACCACCATTCATTGTTGACCTATTTTCACTCAGTTATGACGGATGTATTTTTTTTAGCCGCCATCTTGGATCCGCCATTTTGAAGTGTGATAAATTATTTTAAATATGAAGGTGGTGTTGTGACCCATCATTGTGAACTACTTTTTTATGTTGAATCCAATGCCGCAATCTGTTTTTCATTGTCATATTTGGTTTTTTAAATATTGACATTTTAAGTCAAAATAATTGTTATATTTTATCAACAAAGCTTGATAACAAAAAAACGGATAAAATAAAACCCAGTCAAAATAAAGTACTCGCTACTCTACAATTATCTGACCTGGTTCGGAGTTGATATCTTAAGAAATGTATAAAAAAGTAGGGGGGAACTCATTTGAAACTCACCTGTATAAAACAATTCACAATTATTTTCCTCATAATTTTTTTAGTTTTGAACAGCCGCCATTTTGAAATGATTTGATGAAACTTGACCATTTTCAACCCAGGCCGAGATAATGTATTCAAGCACTTGTGTGCCAAATTTCATGAAAATCGGTTAAGGCATTCGGTCATTATAGCCAATTCATGGGACCCAGCATCCTCTTACGGCCGCCATTTTGATGACGTCATTACGGACGACCGAGGTCCTTAAAAATTGGGGTCTGGGCGGTTTTAGGTTCAGAAACTTGTATACTATAACCACCTAAAATTGCAGCCTCTCTGCCAGAACTGAAATATTCTGCCATCATATGCAGCTATACGACCCCACTACCAAGGATTTTGTGAAATGACGGCACTGTGTGTACTGTAGCAAAATACGAGTTTTCCTGAGGTACGGTAGTGGCTGTTGCCAATCACGTTTTTAGGCCTATAAGTCCCTAATTCCAAAATTTAGTCATAATCCTTCCACTGGATTTCGAGATAAAACATTACAAAACCCACAGACATAGCTCGTATTGGAGTATAGGATAGGATTATAAGATCAAATATCTTTCTGCTTCTGTAATTTTCCGATGTAATATTCCAGTGCCAAGACTTTAGCTGCTAAATTAGTTTTTTTAGGAACCTTCAAAGTTCCCTGCGGTCCACCAAAAAAAGTGTTTTCATCACTCCGTAACGAAAGTAACTATTTTCGATAACAGCTGACATCAATGAAAGTAGTCATTTCCCAAGCTCTAATTTAGAGCGAGGGAAAATCGATCAGCTGATTTTCCCTCGCTCTAAATTTACTTTCCCTCGCTCTCAATTAGTTCTCCATTTATTCACTACGCGCGCTAGTGTTTTGTTACGGTTTAATTTAATGATTTGAATCAGCTGTATGTATTTTTAAAAGTTGATTTATTTTCATGTTTAAACAAAATTTATTGAGAAATATACGTAGATTTCCTTTTAGAAGATTTTATTTTATTTTAATGTTCAATCAAATTAATCTATATAAATAAAATTAGAGTTTTGTCTGTACATTGCTTAGAATAATGAACTTTTTGGTTATTTTTACATTTCATAGGTCAGAGAAACCGAATCAAACCTTATCTCAATTTCTGTCTGTCTGTCTGTCTGTCTGTCTGTCTGTCTATCTGTCATTCTCTTGGTAACGCTAAAATACGCACTTTATTACAACTACTCCTCAATAACTATAGCACTGTCCCGCCTGAAACTTATTTTCCAAATACTATACATATATGAGATGGTTTTAGACGTATTTCATCGAATATGAGACAGTTAGATATTTAACAGTAAACCCTTGAAAATCAAGTTTTTGTCGATTTTTGACGTGGAATTTCTGGAAGCCCATGTTAACCTTATGAGAAATGAAATTATTGAATCTTAACAGCTGTTTCAATTAAACAAGTTGGTTCTGTTCTGTGATGTTCAATAGCATTAAAGTTACAAGGATTACCAACAGGGTGCAGCACTAGCACTATTATTTCTTTTACATTTATGACAACAGCTAATTTGCAACCTGGAGGCGAGTGAGCGTAGCGAACGAGCTAACCTGAAGGCAAGTGAGCGTAGCGAACGAGCTAACCTGAAGGAAAGTGAGCGCAGCGAACGAGCTCCAACATACAGGTGAGTGAGCGTAGCGAACGAACTTCAACCAGGACGTGATTGAGCCATGCAAACGAGATCAGATAGTAAAAATAAAAGTAAGCCTACCGTTATAGGATCGACCGGCAGACACAGAGGTAATTTAACCTTTTATTGATTGTCATACCGATCCGGAACAACAAAAAACAACATAAAATGAAGCTATGTATAATAGTTTGGCCAGCATATCTTAAAATATGCAAACCAACTGCTGTTCGTTATATAAGAAGGTTTCAACTGAATATTATAAGATCCCCGTGCGTAGAACGGGTACACAGCTAGTTGAGTAATAAAATAGTTGTAATATTACTGAGGTCTGCTATTCTGTGTTTGTATATTTATGCGTCGTGATGAAAATTATCGTTCATAACTCGTACCGAAAGTTATTATCCGGCACTTGCTCCATTATTCCCGTCCTCGGCTTCGCCTCGTACGTGAAAATAGTTCTCACATACAATACTCGGCTTCGCCTCGCACGTGAAATTCGGGTTCCCTGTGTTCGGCTTCGCCTCACACAAAAACTTGAGCGCGCGACGGAAAATGCCACTTTCGGTCCTAGTAATGAAATATACTATTGCTCCAAAATTATCTATTCCTAAAATCACAATCATATTCTTTCCCTAGTTTTACATTTAGTTCGAAAAGATCACAAACAATAATGCATTGATTATCATTTATGAGATAACGCTCCATAGTCTTAAAGGGGGGGGTGGTAATAATTATCGTACTATAGGCCTACGCTAAAAGTAGTGTTTGCTCAAATAACCATAGGTCTTATTTAATCAAATCCATCAATAAGTTAAACGTTTTTGTATCATATATTCCATTGATATTTCTTTAGAAAGAATCATGTACAACTTTTATTATTAATACGAATCGAAGCAATCGATTGATCGTTTTAGTACATATAATATCATTGACTATTGGATACTGAAGTTGTATCAGTCAAAGATGACAGTCATAGATAGAACATAATCAGTCCATTGGACAGAGTACTAAAACTACCAACGACCAACGTCTCTCAATTCTCTTTTCAGAACTAAATAGCACTTTTGCAATTGCACTGAATGCGATCATAGACTAACCAACACAAGTAGACTTCTCATCCCATTGTAAATTTTGAAGCACGTTTTTCGTGTCTAGTTCATGTACGTGACACATGGGCGCTAGTGTCGACGAAACTTTGTTTCTATTATTTTAGGGTTAATTTCTTGATTTGTGCTTTACTGTTTGGTTATATAACTAGGGGACAAGTTATTGTTTATGATTAGATCGTATTATTTGGTTAAACGAGGTTTTAAATGGCTGTAATAACAGGAAACAAATTGTAAACAAAACACGACCTCTGCATAAACCGTACAGGAACTAACAATAAAATTGTCTTCAGCTGTTCCATAAGGATGAGAAATCTACTAAGGGAGTATGTTTTATCTATGATGCGATGCACTGCTACTTCTACCTGGGGCCCATTTCATAATAAGCTACAAGTTACAAATTGTAACTTGTAATTTCCATTAGATTTGCATCGGGCGATCAGCTGATTTACTAATAATATTAGTTTGTACTCTATTATGAAATGGGCCCCTGGTGGCGACGCTCGACAGCTTATTTTATTTTGTAGTTGGCATTATGGCATATTGCCACCTCTCTGGAGTTAAGTTAACAGAGCTGTGCCTGTGCACACTGCACAAGTGCACTACTTACAGCACAGCTCTCAGCTGACCATAGTAGAAAAAAATATACTTCACTCACCTTACTCTTCTCTTCCCTCACTGCAACTTCTCCTTCTCGACTCGATAGAGGTTATGTTTTTGTTTAGTTTGGGTTTGTTTGGCAACAGGAGAATACCGGTCGGTGGTGCATAGTTGAGCTCTAAAGTACAGTAGTCACAGACAAATTCCTCGAGATCTTTTTTCATAATTATTCAGAACAGGATAAACTTAAGTGTTGAGATATTTCGAAGCAGATAGATTTTTACTTACGTTGTTCAGAAGATTTTAAAAATGGTCAAAATTGCTGTTGTAAGTTCTACTTGTATAGGCCTAGCCTACCCTTTTAGATAGGATAGTTACTAATTATTATGTTTTTGACAAGTTAGGCCTGGTGTTATTAATTGGATGAAGTTGGTTTAAGTTGACTCCCTTCTAGCAATCAATCACAATGTGGGTCAATAATGCAGTGCCAGTTTAAACAAGATGCCTGTTAAGTAGTGTAGCAGGACAGATTTTGATCAATTTAATTTATGGACTTCCTAACCATGAAAAGACGTCACAACACATCAAATTATATGCTAACTTACTTGCAATGTAACAAGACCAAGTTGTGTTTTACATTGATGATAATTTCGTCTACCATCCAATACTCACAGTCACTGTCTTTCGGAATTGAATTTAATATTGGTAGGCATAAGTTAGGCCTACATAAAGAGTACCTACTGTAAGTTACCTTGAAAAATACGCAGAGGATAGGCGTCCGGTAACCGGACGTTCATTAGGCGTCCGGTAACCGGACGTGGATTAGGCGTCCGGCAGTTACTGTCATAACCTAACCTAACCAACCAAACTTGCTGATAATGACAAAATCGAATTAAGGTTAAATTCCGTCCATAAAATAAAATTATAAATGCCAAAAATTCTAACAAAAGATGTACAGTTAAGAAGAAATTGCATCCAAAGCAAAATCTTTGACAAAAAGTGAAAGTTACCGATGGGATTCGAACCAGGGACCTTTTGCATATCAGCCAAGCACTCTATCCACTTCACCACAAACACCGATGGCTGTACATCGTATCGTTGTGGTAATGGCGTTCCGGGCCCCCACAAACAACTCGGTGACGTCACTGCCAGACACCTGTCTGTTTACCGGACGCGTATCCTCTCTGTAAAAAATCAGTTAAACCAGTCAATTTTAAAACTAGCTAGCTTTTAAGTTAAATCCACTAATCAACACCACTTGAATAATAATACTGAAATGATTTAGGTTACAGGATCTAATAAAGGGATAGGCTTTGCAATTGTGAAGGGATTGTGTGAAAATTTTCATGGAACCGTTTACTTGACAGCAAGAGATGAAGCCAGGGGAAAGTCTGCTGTTGCTGAACTAAACAAAGTAAGTTCAAGTTATTAAACTTCTACTGAATAAGCCTACAAAAAATTTTCTGTAAATAGGCCTACCTACAATCATCATCTGGATTCCACTCTCTTACTGTACGGTAAAACTATCAAAATTGTCAAAATTTACTGTCTTATTTCCTCGGATAGTGATTGTGCATCACTTCTCTATTGTCATTTTCTATTTTGTTTGTGTGTCTACGCCATTAGCATTGTGTCACCGTTTTATAAGGGAACAATCGAAACCCTGATCTTGTTTATACCTAACTAAGGATAGGTCTAAAATACAGTTTACAGTATGCAGTGTAGCTCCAGACGTTACGTGAGTGTCAACCTTAGGGTTCCACGTTGTTGTATTAATAGTCAAAGGTTCCACATACCTAACAATACTTTGAAGATATTACAACAGTTGTGGTGAATTGTAGAAGACTGTCCTTTGTGCCACTTAAATGGGGATTCACAAAACTCAACTGTTCCAAATTAAGATGTGTCATGCCAAGTTGGCTCAGTGTTAGAAGCCAGGTAGCTATCCTAAAACAGTAGTTGTGTGCTAAAACAAACTAAAACGCAACCATTTTGAAATGACAATCTAAAATTTTCTTACATTTTCTAGCTGAATTTGAAGCCAGAGTTTCATCAGCTCGATATAACTTCAAAGGAGAGTATAGCCAAGTTCGCAGATTTCATCAAAAACAAGCATGGCGGTTTGGATGTATTAGTTAACAATGCTGCAATCGCCTTCAAAGTAAGTAGACCTAGGATGCTTATAGTAGGTTACTTAACTTATTATGACTTTATGATTGGCTTAGTTATAAATTATTAATGTTTAGTTGACTGTACCGGTATACAAGATTAATAAAGCTAAAGTTTAGAGTAGGCTACCAATCAATGTCATTCTATAGATGCTACCGTACAGTATTATGCAAGCAGAAATCTTGTTCTCCAGTGTAGAACAAGCCTGAGGTCTTCATTTTTTCAAACTTACCAAAACATGAAAAAATCATGCCATCGGGCGTTTGTGGTCTTGATGTCCTAAATGAAACAAAGCCATTGTTGTTAAAATAATAACACAGGATTTTCCCATATTGGGAATTAGCTGTCGCATATTAGACGCTGTGGTATTTTTTATCAGAAATTGAAATTAGTTATCTCTGGCCAAGCTTCTTAACTGCTAATTTTCTCTCTGATTCAGGTAGCAGCAACTGAGCCATTTTCTGAACAAGCCGAGAAGACTGTGCGAGTAAACTATTTCGCTACTCTGGATGTTTGCAACGCTTTGTTTCCATTGTTGAGGACCAATGCTCGGGTCGTCAATGTATCTAGTTCTGCTGGACATGTCAGTCGTATACCAGGCAAGGCGTTGCAGGAACGGTTCAAAGATCCTGCCCTAACGGTAGACAAGTTGAGTGAACTCATGAATGAGTTTGTCAGGTATGAAACTAAAATATTCTTTCGTAATTTACAAAGGGTTTTGATAGATAGCCGTTACATGTTTTGAAGAGTCAATTTCTGCAAAGATGTTATTACTTTCACCTTGAAAGAACAGCTATATAATAGTTTCACAAAAGGTTAAGGTTTTGTAATTTTAATTACCGGTAGTTTTTAAACATTTAATTTGTACTGGTCATGTTGTGTACAGAAATTCTTTATTGTTTTACTACAAAATTCCAAGAAGCAAAATATGACAGTAGGCTATGCTAAAATGAAACTAGCTGTTTTTTTTTTGAGGGGGGGGGGTTATTACAACACAACAAATTAAGGAAGAAACGCTTGTTGGCCAGAGGCAAAATTGTAACGGCAAAAAGTGTGAGAGTGATTAACTGACAGTATGTTTAGTTTCAAAACCAAAAATATGTAGCCTACATGTTGGTATAGACTAATGCTAACTCTTTCAACATAGTCATGTGTCATTAAATGTCATAATCACTGTTCTTAACCAGAGATAAGGCTTTATGAGATTGTATGTTGAGTTTTGTAATGGTTCTGATACTGTAGGCTATTTATATATTACTATATGTGTTTGAATAAGCTTGTAACTGTCACAGATAGCTAAAAAAAATTTGACTTGCTTCTAAACATAGAAACCAGTAATTGACTTAAAATGTTGACAAAGGTGATATGAAGGAAGCGTTAGGCTGAAATGAAACCTGTTTATTAATTTAATTTAATTTTTATTAAACTACATGTAGCTTTTTTAGTTTATATTTTATTTTATTCAGAATTAAGTGAGAGAAGAGGAGATTGAAATATTAGTATCAATTTAGTTGTGCAATTTAAGCTTTTTGACCATTGGATTTCAATTAATTACTAGTCTCAAGGACGGATTAAAGGGGGGGGCGGTGGGGGCAACCCCCCCCCCCCCCCCCCCCGAGGCCCAAGAGACAGAAAAAAATTTTACAAGGCAACGCACGGAAAATAAATACTCGTTGTAGGTCTGCAAAAGAAAGAATAAATGTTTTGTCTGTGGTAAAACTGGGTTAGTATGGTTAATTTACGGTTTTAACAAAAAGTCGGGGTGATCATATATAAATATTTTTATTTGAATTTTGATAAACAAGGACAAGCGCTTTAAGGAAAATAATCTACGAAGGTTGGCAATACTGTTTTTTTCGTGACTATTGAGTTGTCTGTCGTCCATCATGGCGTTGTCTCACTCGTCTGTTACCGATCGGCTCGCCGCCGCCATTTTATACTGCGAACTGTGAGAAGAGATGGAAGAGCAATTAATTGACAGATATTTAATTTGAATGTGGACTTAAGTTGTTTTTAGTTTTTGCTGCATTTAGCTTTATCATGAAACGAGCAAGATAACATCTTTCTTCTTTAAAAAGCACAAGACTACAGGTAAGGAACCTAGAATAAGAATAAGAATAAGAATATTTATTTTTCCTTTTGACAAAATGACAAAATACATGCATTTGGAATCGTCATAATAATCACAAGGCAAATTCAATAACAATCAACATGCTTCTACAAAACTCTCAAAATTTCTACAATAAATAAATAAATATATAATAATAAATAATCATTTTATGTTCACAACTAAAACTAAAAGATGCAAGGTCTAATTACACATGCAAGTCAAATAAATATCACATATCAAGAGTCAAAACTTAAAAATTGGTAAAAAACTTAAAAATAGGTACTTACGGATGCTGCTGGTATATTAAAAAAATCATTCCAGGAATACAGTTGGTTGGCCAATAAAAGGTTTCTGAGGTTGGTTTTGAATTTTGAAAAATTCTGGTTTCGGGCTTCACATGGGAGTCTGTTAAAAAATCTTAAACTTAATAAGCTGTGTTGAACTTGACTTTTTCTTAATCTAACAAATGGCACATCAAAAAGGTTCTTAGATCTAGTGTCATGCTCATGAAAATCGTCTATCTTACTTTTTAAATTTAATAGACACACAAATACATATAAGCTAAAACATGTCATCAAGCCCTCAGATACAAAAATGGGCTTACAATGATCTGTGGACATTGCATCAGCCAGCAGACGAACTGCTTTCTTTTGCAGTAGCAATACACATTTTACATCTGGTGCACTGCCCCATAGCCTCAAACCATATAAAATTACACTTTCAAAAAGGGATTTGTAAGCAGTTTTGACATAATCTTTAGGTACACACATTTTCAGGTTTCTGAGCAAGTATAGGATTCTAGACAGCCTACAACAAACTAGATCTATATGACTTGCCCAAGTTAGCCTACTATCCAACACAATACCTAGGACCTTAACACTCTTTACCTCATTATTTCTCAATGAGAAAATTACTGACTCAGTTTTGTCTTCATTTAAAAGAAAGAAATTAGCCCTAAACCAGTCAGCAGCCTGATCCAATGATTGTCCCATGGCAGTTTCCAGCTTTGAAAAATTTTGTTCCGTAAGTACCAGCGAGGTATCGTCAGCATAGCTGACAATCCCGGCATCAACATTACCTGTAATATCATTGACACTTATCAGAAAAAGGAGGGGCCCCAACACTGACCCCTGAGGCACTCCATGGTTCACTTCCCTTAAGGTTGACCTCATACCATTCACATGAATGATCTGCTGCCGTCCTCCCAAGTACGACCTCAGCAGCTCAATTGAGTTCTCCTTGACTCCATAGTGCTTCAACTTGATTAACAACGTGTCATGGTCGACAGTGTCAAAAGCCTTACTGGGGTCACAAAAAGTAACCCCAGTAAAGCTGTTCCCCTCAAAGCCCCCAACAATTTTAGCTACCAGACAATCAATTGCATCAATTGTCGATAGATTACTGCGGAAACCATACTGGGAGGACATCAACAGATTGTTGCATTCAAAATACCTGTACAATTGAGATTTTAATACTGCCTCAAAGATCTTTGAGAAAATTGGCAAAATGGACACTGGCCTAAAATTTTGCTCACAGTCCCAACTGCCTTTTTTGTGAATAGGCACTGTTTTAGAAATCTTTAAAAAATTTGGAAAAACACCCTGCTTGATACACATATTGATACAAAATGTGAGCGGAAAAACTATATGCAAAATGATCCTCTTAACTAATGAATTTGAAATGTTTTAAAGATCCTTACTTGTAGAGTTCTTCATCCTTGATACCAACTCAAACACTTGTGTTGGACTAGTCTCTTCAAATTCAAATTGGCTGTTGGGAGAAGGAGTCACCTGTAGCATCTGTTGGGCGGATGTCGCTGCCACCCCAACTGCCTCTCTCGCTGACTGTACAGAGTTTGTGAAGAAGTCACCAAAGTCATCCGGTAGCAGTGAAGTTGACCTCGGACGTCCAGGAGTTGTTTCTGCCTTGATGATGTTCCAGGCCATAGCACATTTATTTTACGAGTTTTCAATTTTTGAGGCATTAAATTCGAGTTTAGCCTGTCTCAGGTCACTTCTGTATTCACGCTTCACGCTGCGGTACAAGTTTTTCAATTCAGGTGAATTTTCTAAGGTCGTAGATCAAGAGCATCCAATTTCTCTTCTTGAGTAGAGTCTCATTTAACCATGGCAACTTCAGTTTGTTCTTCTTGCGGTATGTTGAAGGCTTGGGTTTTATGCATTTGGTAGGCACATAGTAGTCCATTGTATTTACAAAAAGGTCCAAAAAGAGTTTAAAATTTTCTTCTGCGTTAACAGATGTTAGCACCGTACTCCAGTCAATGTTGTCCAGTTGTGATACAAAATATTGTATCTCTTCTTCGGTGAACTTCTTTACCCACTTTGTAATCATTGCCTCGTTGGAGACAGATTCCATGTTGTTGCAGATAAACTCGGCACATAATGCATCATGGTCACTGATAGCAATCCGTTTTACTTCCACTTTGAGGCAAGTGTCGTCTAAATCGGTAGCTATGTTGTCTAGACAAGCTTTTTGGCGGGTAGGCTCATGGTTTTTACAATAAATATTAAGAGATCTAAGTAAATACAGAAATAAAGCTGACCTCGTGTCTTGAGTAAGGATATCCACATTAAAATCTCCACCTATTACAAGGTGGTTGTCAGTTCTCAGGTTGCTCAGAGAAATTACAAGTTCTTCAAAGGCAGTCAAAAATTGTTCAAGATCACCATTAGGTGAACGATAAACTCCAACAAATAAAATATTTTCAAAATCTAAATGAATACATACAAATTCATGGTGAAGTTCACGGAAAAAATTTGAGACATCAATGACCTTGAAATTGTTTGCAAGGGAGTTGGCTAAAAATAGAGCCACACCCCCATGTTTCATCTCAGTTCTACAAAAGGCACTCGCCAACGTAAAACCGCACACCTTCTTGCAAGAAATCATTTCGTTTGTTAGCCAGTGTTCAGACAAACAGAGCACCATAAAGTCATCCAGTAACAACATAACCTCCAGTTCAGGGATTTTATTTTCCAATGATTGTACATTCAGGCACAACATACGGATTTTGGTAGGCCTAATTCCATTTCTTGACCCTACCACACTGGTACAGGTGCTTAAGGATTCTTGGTTCTGTGGAAAGTTCAATCAATCAATTGCTATCACAATACTATAACACTATGACATAACAAAAGCCCCGCTTCGTTTAGTCATACTGTAGTGTCAAAGGATAAAATATAAAAACAACATTCCTACTTTCGGGTTTTTTTTAGGTGTGAAGCCAAAAGAATGTGCTGGAGATGAGCGTCTTTCAGAAAACGACTCTTTACAGATTGAAGACCAGACCAGGAATGAAAATGATGTCGCACTACATATTGGGACAAAACCTTCGGACAGAGTTCTTGCCCTCATCCTAGAAAGTCATTGGGAACCTCCAGCTGGCTACAGTTTTCCTTTTTCTGAACATAATAAAAGTAATAAGATTGAGAAGCGTTATCTGAAAAGAGAGCATTTGGAAAAGTATAAATCTTGGCTGGTTCTATCACCATCTACAAATGATCTATTTTGTAAAGTGTGTCCTTTTTTTGCACCTGGTCTTAAAGGTGGTCACCACGGAGGAGTACAACTAAAAACCTTGGTGGTCCAGCCTCTTAAACGTTTTTCTAAATTGTTGGGAAAGGATGGTGACTTGGAAACACACAGCAAAGCACAGTATCACCAGCAAGCTTTAGAACGAGCAAACGATTTTTTGGTTTCTCACAAAAACTCCGAGAAATCAGTAGAAAATCAAGTTGATACATACAGACTAAAAAGAGCAAAAGAAAACCGAAAGAAATTGGGATTTGCTTTGCAGAATGTAATATTTCTTGGAAGGCAAAACATATCGTTTAGAGGACACCATGACGATGGATCCATTTTCCCGAAAGACTGTGGTGTATCGGTAACAAACAAAGGCAACTTTAAAGAATTGATGAAATTTCGAGTTGAAGAATGTGGAGAGATCGAACTTTTGGCACAATGTCAGTCCGAAAGCATGAGAGGTTCATTTCTTAGTAAAACTGTACAGAATGATTTAATAGAATGCTGTGGTCAAGAAATAGTGTCACAAATATTGTGTAGAATGCAGGAAAACAAAGTATATAGTATAGGTTTTGATGAAACCTCTGATATTAGTCACAAATCTCAGATGACTATCTTTGTGAGATATGTTTATCAAGAAAAAATCAGAGAAGACTTCATAGGTTTCATCAACCTTCGAGAGCCAGAAAAAAATCTGTTGGAAGTAAATCCGAAAGTTACTCCAAAAGATGATGAAAATGAAATTGCATCGTCACCATCTGATAGTGATGACAATCAAGATCCATTTGAGCAAAACGACGACCTAATTATCAGTATTGATGATGATGTTGAAGTTGAAGAAGATCAAGATCCTCGATTCACTGGAGAGAGAATTGGCAAAGTTGTTCTTGATTCAATGAAACGTCTCAACCTTGATCTTAACAATTGTGTCGGCATTGCTACCGATGGTTGTTCTGTTATGGTTTCGGAGATAGTAGGAGCAGTTGCCACAATAAAAAAAGAATGTGTCAATGCAGAAAGAGCTCCTTGTTTAAGTCACGCTTTGAACTTATCAATTTTGAAATGTTCCAATGTGCAATCAGTACGAAACGCAATTGGTATTATCAAAGAAGTTGTTGCCTTTTTCACAGCTTCCCGAAAAAGAAACGTGGTGTTGGTAAAACATATTGGTGGCCAGCTTATTTCTATGTGTGAGACTAGATGGGTTGAAAGACACCTATCTATTGAATCTGTTATTAATAATTTTGAAAAATTGTGTTGTCCCTGGAACAAATTTCTCAATGGTCACATTTTTCAAGTGACAACTCGAGTGCTAAAGCCACAACCCTATTGTGTGCAATCACGAATGGAGACTTCATTTTGACTCTAGTTTGTCTTGCTGATGTAGCCAAACATTGCCACTAAGTAGATTTTTTCAAAAAGAAACTATTGACATCGGCCAAGCAAAGGACTTGTTAACTGATACAATAACAGTACTAAAAGAAAAACGGCAAAACGCTGACACAGAGTTCAGTCAATTGTTTCAGAGAGCCCATAAATTAGCTGAAGCTGTGGGGAGCACAATCAAAGTGCCACGAACTACAGCAAAGCAAATTAATCGGCCGAATGTTGCCGGATCGAACCCAGAAGATTACTTCAGAGTGAACATCTTCGTACCTATTCTTGATTGTTTAAATAATGACCTCAAGAATAGGTTTTCTGCCCAAGTCCTTGACGTTTACAAACTCAACTCGTTGCTTCCTAAAAACCACGTCTCACCAAAAACGTCACTTAAATCAATATTGAGGGATTCAGAAAATCTCTCTAAAAAATATCATAGAGTAATTGGTGTCAATGAAAGTGACTGCATTTCTTGTCTAAAGGCCGAAATTAAACTTTGGACATCTAAGTGGAAAAGAGAGTTGGGAAATGGATTAAAACTTCCAAACCACGCTGTTGAGTGTTTACAATTTTGTACTCCAGAGATCTTCCCCTCAATAAGAACTTTATTGCTGATTTTGTCATCTCTTCCTGTTTCAACCGCTACAGCAGAAAGATCATTCTCAACACTCAAGCTAATCAAAACTTGGTTGAGAAACCGTTGTGGCCAAACCCGCTTAACTGGATTAGCTCTGCTATATGTTCATAGAGACATAACGATTGACAGAGAAAAGGTTATCGACAGGTACATTGAAAAGGGTGGGAAAAGAAGAAAACTTATGTTTTCATAATTATTTCCAAGCTAGGTTTATCAATTGACAAGATAGTATTTTGGCTACTGATTTTCTTTCGCCAGCATATTGAACAAATGTTTAAAAAATGTAATTTTTTTCCTTTTATATTTAAAAACAATGTAGCATACTAGGTTAATTGATATTTAACGTGAATGTTGTCTTACAAAATATGTTAAATGGAAAATGTAAGGAGTTTATTATTCTTTATTTAATCCTGTATACACAAACTATGGTTTACAATGAATGTCTTGTAGTTAGAAAATAATACTGCTTAAAGACGGCTTAAGATGTGTATCATTCATATACTGTACAGTACATAAATCCAAAAGGCTTGCTTTATTCATAGCATTTAAACTAAAGTATTTAGGCCACTCACCAGTATATTGAAAACATGTAAAAAAAATATTTTTTTGTACCTTTATATTGTTTAATAAAAAAAAATGTAATTTGGTTAAATTTATTTTTGACATGAGTTTATTATTTTTTATTTATCCTGTCTGATGTTTTTTTTTTTTTTATATATATAAAAGTTGTGTAGTTTAAAAATAATACTGTATGAAGAGGACTTAAAATGTGTATCATTCATATGTACCTATATAATTCCAGTTAGTAGTGCCTACTTTATTCATAGAATTTTAATATAGGTGATTAATTTTGCTAAAAATAAACAGGTTCTTGCTATGACTTTTTTAGGCACACAAATTTGTAGGCCTAGTAGGCAAATGGCTTATGAAAAGTGTTAGATTTACTTTAAGAATATACAGTAAAATTTTTAGTCTAAAACCTCTAAAACTAATGGTTTTTCAAGGTATTTTTCTAAAATTTTTCCCGGGCGAGGACCCCCCTTTTTGCTGGAGGGTATTCCATACCCCCCAGGCCCCCCGGATCCGCCCCCTCCCACAAGGTGGTACTAATCCGCCACTGACTAGTCTGTTAGATTACGTCCTAAATGAAACAAAGCCATTGTTGTTAAACTCCAGTGCAAATTTTGTAGAAGTGTCCATTTTTCTAGCTTTAGGTACTTATTTTTAAAAGGACATGTAGGCTTACCTTTTCTCAGTATAGTCTTGATTATCTCATCCAGCTATTCGATCTGGACTATTTTATCTTCTTTTCATAACTCTAAAGCTTCTCATACTGTATCTCTCTCCGTTAACTCTTTCATTAGTCTAAATAGAATCAGAATACTGAATGAAGGATTTCTTGTACTTCTAAAGAGACAACGCCTGGGTTTTGGCATTTAGGAAAAAGCATAATCCAGAAGGCAAAACACATACAATATTTTTTACCTATGTTATATTATTAAGTAACTATATTGTTTCTCGTTGTTGTTTAATGCACTTATTACATCAGTTTTCAGGAGAGCAAGCTGGTCTAGTGGTTAGAGCGCAGGACTTTGGTTCCAGAAGTCCCGGGTTCATATCCCGCCAAATCACCAATGGATTTTATCTATGTGATAATGCCGAAACCCCTAGGTCTAGCCTGAAGTAATGTGAAAAACAATTCCTTGCTTGTGCCTAGCATCCTAGGACAAAAAAAGATTACATCAGTTTTCAATTCTACGAGTGATTTAACATTTTTTTACAAATTCCTTTTGAATGTTTCTTTGTTTATCAGACCTTGCTGTGGTCAGTTTGAATCCAATAATCAAATCTATTTTTAGAGAATTTTATAACCTGAAATATCATTATACAAAAGAAACCAATATTTAGAGCTAACCATCTAGCATACGGCTTTGGTAAAGAAATTTACATTGTATCCTTCTTAAAATAGCCTATGCCTTTCACAATCCAGGTAAAGCTCGTGACACCTAAGCTGGCACTTGGCCTAGCGCGGGCAGTGTAGGCAGGGGGAGGGTGGAAATAAGGAAAAGACCGGACTGCAAACATTTTCTCTACCTCTTGGGGTTGACTCCCCGTATATATGTACTTGAGCGCCTTCACATGAGTAGCAAGGACAGTTGACGCAACCCGCATGACGGGACAAGATGTTTTTGAACTAGATGCTAGTAGTGATCAGCCAAGTGCCAGCTTAGATGTCACGAGCTGTACCAATATGAAATGGTTTTCTTACCTCAAATTGTATTCTATTAAATTTGAGCCATACAGGATTATTAGATATTTTCTTTTAAATATTTAAATAAATTAACAATGTTGTTTCTCGACAGCGCGGCAGCAGAAGGTCGTCACAAGGAGCAAGGGTGGGGGGAGAGTGCATACGCAGTGTCCAAGGTAGGTGTGAGTGCACTGACGAGAGTGCATCAACGACAGTTCGACAGTGATTCTCGTCAGGGAATTGTCGTCAACTCCGTACATCCTGGCTACGTAAGCACTGACATGTCTAGCCACAAGGGCCCTCTCACTATTGAGGAAGGTAAGTGTTGGTAAAACAACGGGTAGTTGTTACAAATTAGGTTTGTGAAGGGTGACCGGAACGGATGTTTTAGAACTAAGCATTACTTTTGTTTTTGTGTCAATTATAACTTTTTTACATTAAAATGTTCATGCATGTTTCAATAGTTATCTTAAATTCTTTGATTACACTTTTCAGCATTTCACGGCCACCATTAATTGTCACCACTTTCTGGTTAATTGGGTCCATAAGATCCATCTGCATTCGGGGTCTGTGAATGTAGGTACGAAATTCGAAAACGCCCCTATGAAAAAATTCTCACTCGATCAAGTATAGTGCCCTCGGGGGTTACAGAATATCACGGGATTGTGAATAACCCTTCCTAGGAACATGAGACACAATACAGTCGTTGAATCCCAAGCAGTGTGGGCCGTAAATCTTGTTAAAAATAAACATAGGTGTTTAACAAACGTCGCTGCCTCATCTGTGCCCTCAAAAGTGCTTGAGCACATGAACATTTTTAAGAATCAAAGCTTCCCTAACTGTTAAACATATACAGTGTCCTAACAGTTATTTTTTGCCGAGCGGCTTCATTTTTCTTGTTTTTTGTAGATGGTTCCCGTTTTTCTCAAATTGTTAATCCACCTGAAAATTTTATTTTGGCTCGTATCCACACAGCATATAAAACTCTACTCATCCCATAAACCAAGCTGTCAAGTGAACAATTTCTCTAGTATCTTCTGGGAGCGAGCTGGTAATAGTGTGGATTTTGGTCCACGAGGTGCTGGGATCAGTGATATGCTGCAACCTCTACTAGGCCCAGCCTGAAGTAATGTTGAGCCTACATCCTGAGATGTGACGTAACACATTGAAAAAAATCTAATGTCTTTGCCATTCTTAGGAGCCGCAGCACCTCTCTACCTGGCTTTGCTGCCTGAGACCGCAGATGTGCCCAAGGGTCAGTATGTGTGGTGCGATTCAACAATACGCAACTGGACCGATCCCCAAATGTAGTATTTAACAGAACTACGAAAAACTCTCTACCTTTTGTGAAACTTACCGCTGGACTTTGTTGAGACAACATTTACTGATTTACTGTAATTCGCATTTTTTTAGCATGATTGCATAGTTTCATGTCTACTTAAGTAACTCCGATTAATCAATTTTTTCAGTGATAGTTTGCTTCACCTCCTTGTTTACCTAGGTGTTAAAATTCAACAATCATAGTTATATCAGTTTGTACTGTATTAAAAGCCACATAATTCATACGGGAATGAATCAGAAAAGCTCAAGATTTTTACTTTTTTGTAAGTTAGTGAGTTGCTTTTAGTAGGTATGTACATCCTTGATATTAAAATCCATTTTTAGCCCCTGAGCTGTGATATTAATTAAAAATAGGTATTTACCTTCGTCTACAGCTCAATCTGTTGTAACTTGAGTTACGGCCGTTTCAACTATGACGACGCTACTTCAGCTGAATGTTCAACGTCTGACGATGGCATTATAATGCCGAAACGGCCGTAACTCAAGTTACAACAGATTGAGCTGTAGACAAAGGTAAATACCTATTTTTCATCCTTGATAGTTTGGCCCTCGATAAAATCGGGCTTGATTACATCTCTAAAAAAACTTTAGCCTAAAAGAAATTGTATGTATGTAGAGTAATTTCATACTGAAGTACAGTAAAAAATGGAACAATTATTATTACTGCCACTACTGGTACACTTAATAATTACATACATTAAATTAATTAATGTCTGCTCCTAATAGTCGAGTATTATTTAGTAGTAGAGTAATTAATAAAGCGCAACTCCAAACTGCACTACTACAGTACAGCCAAGTGGATACAATTCACGGAACTCACATTTTATGTGTAGTCGCCATCCACTCATTAAAAAATGCCATGCTTCTAGTCTGTGGTTATGTTTAGTTGTTATTTTTGCCAAAACATTGGGTTTTTCACACTCACTTATAGTAACTCTTTGTCATAATTGCCTATCGATGCTCCGGCCTTTTCTTAAATTAAATCCAGCCACCTGTTTACACGGGGCTATCGAGGTTCTACTTTAGCAAAATAGGTTAATGTTTTTGTATTCAATAATTGATAATTATATTTAAATACCTCCTGTGATATGTTTGTAATAGAAATACATGATTATTGGACCACTGTTGAGACTCTGTGTGCTTGCACCTTATCCTATATCATTATTTCTTGAGAGGGAATAAACTTGGAAATCAGGAACTTCAACAAAAATGTACATTAAAATACCAAATACATGAAAACATTAAGACAAGTAGATTCAGGACCCAGGGCGTCATTTTAAAGGAGACTGTCAAGTAATGGTGCCAACTAACAAAAGGTCAAACTTTAGATATATAGTAACAAGACCATGGTTTGGATAGTAACTTAAAAAAACCTAAAAATTGTCAATTACTAAGAAAAGTCCAAATCCACCCTAACCTGACCTGAACTTGGGGTGGTATTTTAAAGTATTTGAAAACCCTAACCTGAATAGAAATATTAATAAATACCCCCGCCGCAGCAAACCTGCAGACTTAGCGAATTTATATTTGCCTGAATGGATTTACACTCAAATGTCTCCTTAAAATTATCACATTTATTCCCTATTTAAATACAGTACAATAATTTAACGAGTACTTAGGTTTGCTGCAACAGGGAGGATAAAAAAGTGTTTTTTGTTGTTCAATGTTAATACTGTAGTTTAGTAAGATATGAATGTATTTTCCAAATTTGATCAAAATATGTTCATAAACATGGAAACTACAACAGTTGACTTATTCTCCATAAGAATAACGTAGGAATTTCAAATTTACAAAGTAGTATAGTTTGTCGCTGCCGTTTTTTGAGTGTTTTGGGGGCCAACTCCCCCACCCCATGCCTAATTGCTAGTACATCTACAATTCCCTCCTTCCAGTTGTTTGATATGTTGTTGTCTATATTTCTATCTTATCTATATATTAGTCGTATGAGTTGATTAATATTGTCAGTATAGTTTGTCGCTGCCGTTTTTGTGATTCAACATCAGCTCCCTCGCCCCATGCCTAATTGCTAGTACATCTACCATTCCCCTTCCCAGTTGTTTGATATATTGATATGTTGTTGCCTATATTTCTGTCTTAGTTCGTACAAATTGTTTAATATTGTCATTCTTACGCCTTTTTGCTATCCAACAGAAATAGTACAATTATTACAACTTAGGGGAAATTCCTTAAAAATATTAAATATTCCCTTCAGGTTCTAACGAGTAATTAAAATAAAAACCTCTTTTATTCACTTACTAAAAGAAACTGTATTCTTAAAAATTCATAACATCACTTCTACTTACAAATCAGAATAATTAAATCAAACATATGATCATATGTTAGTTCCACATAGTACAGTAGTTGATTAAACCAAAGTCTTTTAAATTGTGGGTATGAAACCAAAGTCTATTAAATTCAATTCGTAACACACTCCCCACCTTTGTAAATTGAGTAGTTCGACAACAATTTACAAACACTTAATTCATAAAATAAGTAAACGTCACAATACAATTCTTCAACAGTACAACAATTTGTATAAAACCATTCACATGTTCATTCTGGTTGTCACTGTCATAGGTCAAGGGACGGCTGTTCATAAGACACTCACATTCACATACTAACTTCATCAGTTCTTCGTAACACAGTCCTAAGTTTTTCTTAAGAATGTCCTTTAACACACGTATTAACCGCTCCCAATATCCCCCCCACCATGGCGCAGCGGGAGCATTCAATTTCCACTTTATTCGTTGAATTCTATATTCCTCTTCAACAGCTCTATGGGGAAGGTTGTGTGCATTAATATTATTTATCTCATCTTCGGGAACTGTCTCGATTATTTCAAGCTTAGGCCATGAATCAAACACAGAATCATAATAATCATACTTACCAATAAGTTTCAGTGTTTTGGTAGTAGAACTAAGTCTCTTTTCTTTGACGTATTTGTTATCCTCTAGTACAGGCTGTCCTTCACTCCAAGGAAGTTTCACGACATATCTCCCAGAATCTTCTTGTTGAACAGTATTTTCAAAAAACTCAGCTACTTGACTATCCTTTTCACTCTGAAGTTTTTTCGTACCAGGGTCCTTAATTCCTAAAAGTTCAAGTTCCCAAAAGTGAGATGGATTAACTTGATTTGTAAGAGTCAATAACATCGAAGAAGTCATTCTAGTTTCACTGTCTGATTCAGATTCACCAACTAGTGTCCATCCTAGTTTTGTTTTCACAGCAACTAAATCATTACCTACTTTTACATACTCCGATGTAATAAATTTAGGCCAACTGTCAGCTCTAAGAAGCAACTGTATATCACTGACTTCTTCTGAGGATTCACAAAAATCCGACAAAATAACACCTTTTGATTTGAGATTTTCATATATTCTGACGTCTGACACTTTAGGTATGAATCCGCAGATACGAGGTGTGTCCAAAACTTTGAAATCCTCATTAAAACCATCAGATGTAGATTGAAGTTTTACAGAATAAACTCCATGAGACCTTAAATTCGTTTTCTGTCCCCCAAACAACTCTTGACTCGTTACAGTTTTACCTATTCTCTTCAGTTTTAAATCAGTCGCACAAGATTTCAAAATATAACTTTTTTGGCTTCCAGAGTCAATCAACGCACGAACTGTGTGTTCTTGGGTTCCCACAACTATTTTCACAAGAAGCGTGCTTAGGTAAACCACTGTTGATTTACTAGTACTCGACACTAATGCCTGACTTGTACTATCCTCAGAAATAGTTTTTTGTTCATCAGAGTTTTCAGTTTCATTTAAGGAAAGGGTAGTTTTCTTCAGTAGATCTTCACACATAATCGGATAGTGTTTTCTTAAACAAGCTACACACTTTACCATAGCATTACAGGAATTACTCATGTGACGACCTTTTAAACACTTGAAACAAGATCCTTTCTTCTTTAAAATATCTTTTCGCTCAAGAAGAGTCAAATCCAAAGCTTTCACACAATCTTGAGATCTGTGATTTTTATCACAAAACACACAAGTCAATGAATAAGTACCTACCTTCCGTAGTCGATACAAGTGCTGCCGCCGAAGGCTGTTTCTCAAAAGGCTTCCAATTGTTTTCCTTCTCAAAACCTTTATTTGTTTTGATAGAAGATCCCCACAAATCTTCAGAGGAACTTGAAGGATGTTTTACATTGTGTTTGGTAGGCTACTTGCAATTCCAAACCCTTCCAATGCCATAGATACTTTTTGTTCTAACTCTACCTCGTTTTTAAGGAACGTCAACAGATTCTCCAGAACTTCTTTAGATGAACTTTCATGATTGTTATAGTTATGGTTCATTGTTCGCTGCCAAAGTTTGAGGACGTCTTCGGGCAGACTTGATGTTACCATTGGAAATAGCAGTGAGGCACAATACTCTGAAGTCACTCCCAGTGCATTAAGATTCCTTAAGTGTGACTGGATCTTGTCGTAAAGAACCGACAAAATTGGTTTTTCTTTACTTGTGACGTTCTGTATCGTTAGAGCCAACATTTGCCTCATGTAATACTCTTTCAAGAGATCGTCTCTTCCGAATCGACTCTTCAGAGCTTCAACAACTTCGTTGTACATTTCAGGCGTCGCAGGGTAGCTTTCGACCAAGTCACGGGCAGGCGATCCAACCGCAGTTGCCATTATAAGATACTGGATCTTATCTGCTGGGTCTACATTCTGGTCTTCGTCGATCTTCTTAAATTGAGACCAAAATGGGAGCCACTCGCCTAGTTCTCCGTTAAACTCTTTTAGTTTCAAATAAGGTAGTTTGTACGAGCGTCCTGCTTTACCCGATCCTGAGCCTTTTTGCGTTATTTCACTTCTTTCATCTTGATGTGTATTCATTTCATTAATTTTTAGATGTTCCACTTTCTTAGAAATAAGATGATATTGTACAATATATTCATTTTGCCCTTGAAGTTCTTCATCAATGTCTTCATCTTTCGCATCACTTTCTAATAACTGATCATATATTGATGAATTTATGTCGTTGAGAGTGCAAAATTGAGTATTTATTACTTCAAGCTGTGCTGATACTTGTATAAAATCAACTATTTCTTCCTTAAAAATATCTTCCAGTTTTTTAACTGTCACAGTAAATGTCCTTCGAATAGCCGATCTTGATTTCTTTAGTTTTGTTAGTTCAGCCATGTTTTCCAATTCACTGTTTCAGTATTCAAAATTGTGTGTTCAATAAAACAGGGTCAGATTTACTCGTTATCACGTCCTGTCACGGTCGCCATATATTACAACTTAGGGGAAATTCCTTAAAAATATTAAATATTCCCTTCAGGTTCTAACGAGTAATTAAAATAAAAACCTCTTTTATTCACTTACTAAAAGAAACTGTATTCTTAAAAATTCATAACATCACTTCTACTTACAAATCAGAATAATTAAATCAAACATATGATCATATGTTAGTTCCACATAGTACAGTAGTTGATTAAACCAAAGTCTTTTAAATTGTGGGTATGAAACCAAAGTCTATTAAATTCAATTCGTAACAACAATTTTTATGTTATTCCAACCATATTGTATACATACCTCTTACCTTTAAAGTAATCCATATGAAATAATATTTACAATTTTCTTAATTTTTAGATGTATTATTGTTTTTTATCAAAAGTTGGAACCTACATAGTGTACTTAAATTTTAACCGTTTTGCTGTATCTTTTGACATTTTTGAGATATAAGCGATTTTAAGTCTTGCTACAAGAAAATACTCTAAAATAAAAAATTAATTTACAATAGCTTACAACCTTGTAAATTGAAGACACTAATGCAAGACCCACTTAGCTGAAATATAGTTATATGTTAAATTTAAGAACAAAATATTTCTATAGTTACAGAGCACCTTTACAAGGAAATATAATGTGACTTGCACTTTTTTGATACCTCTGGATATAGTAAAGATATTGTCAAAGCTAAACATCTCCATAGACTTATATTATTTGATCTGTCTTGTAACTGTTCAAGATTACTATGAGAATGTTGCAAGAATTAAAGCTAAAAATCATCACCTTCAAACCTTAACTAGGGATAAAAAGTACTACATTTTCATGATGTCAAGAGGTTTCTTATTCTATAATATGGCATCAATACTATTACAAATTCGTTACTAG